TAAGTAGTTCCAGCGTTGACCGCTCGATAGCGCCGCTTACCCGCGCTAGAAAAAATCAGTCCGGGAACTTTCCGGACAAACTGTGTATATATATCAGAACTGAATTGGAAAACCCGCCTCGGCATATCGAAATGCGTTAATTGTTCTCCATTGAGTGCGTTTTAATTGAAAGGCCAAAGTCGACTGCAAATTCCCGATCGAAAAATAGAACGAGCAAATCGAAACTGCCTGCGATTGTTCAGTAGTTTCTCCAAAGCGGCGTGACAGCCACTCGACTGCTCTCGCGCATATTAATACATTCGGTTTTTTTTTATTTTTTTTTATTTTTATGCGCGAGCGAAAGAAAATATTATTTTTCTGATATTACGTTCTTTCAATTTGACGTGTAATAACGTAACGTTGATAAATATTATTAATTGAACAATTTTGAAAAACTATTTCTTTTATTGTATTTTATAAGAATACGCGCATTCAATTTTAATTTCGCTTATTTTAATTTCACTTTTCTTCTTCATGCTGCAAAATCACAGCTCGGAAGTAGAATCGCTCGTTTATTAAAAATTATAATAATATAAAAAATTATAATAACTTTGCGAAATTTTATCTTTACTTTTTGAATTGTGAAAAATTAAAAAAAAAATTGAATTATATTAACGACGATAATAAGAAATCAAAAAAAGAAAACATCATCGGGGTGATTTATGTCGGAGTAAAGTAATATTTCAAATTCTATATGTACTTTTTGAATTATATACTTCGTACATCGGTGTGTCTCACGAACAGACTCTACGTGACATTTTGTGCTTTATTATCGCGCAACACGCGCAGGCATTTCATCTGGACGAGAATCTGGGCGACGACTACGAGGAGGAATCCAGCAGCGCCGGCTACCACACGGACGAGAGCTGCAGCCCGACCCCCGAGCCGGTGGTAACTGGCAGCAACTGCGAGGCTCTCAGCTTGGAGGAGAATTGTGCGGATTTAACGTCGGCAGATGTGACAGTAGAGCGACTCGCCGAGAGATACGGTCTTCTCTACGCTCAGGCCAATCTGCACACCCTGGATGCCTTGGACGCGTTAGAGCCACTCAAGGACGCGCCCGACTTAAAAGCGAAGATCCTCTACTCGGTCGTAGTGGTGAGTGCCCGCTTTAAGTCATACAATCGCAATTATGCGACGCTAGAGAAGCGTCGCCACCGTCTCGTTTAACTGCGGTGTACACTACTTGGCAGAGAAATATCTCCAATAGATCGTATACTTGAAATTTCCATGTTTCTTTAATATATATATTACAATTTCAATACTAAAAGATAACATGAAATATTAAAAAAAAAAAATAGTTCGCGAGTACTGAGCTACTAAATTTATAGAACTATAAATAATAATAAATACATTAAAAAGAAAGTTAAACTACTACTTATACTAGAAAATCTTTTTTTTCCTCATCGATTAGTTTAGTCGCGCGACGAACTGCGTGCTTCTCTCGGTCTGGCCGACGCAACGCATAAAAGGAGCAACGGAGCGATCGCGAATTATTATACGAACAGCACTCGATCATCCGCAGATACGCGTCCCAGTTAGCCACGTTACAGGCGCAAAATTGTCGCTCGGATGCCTTTCGTCGCACAATGCATTCCGCTTCGCGCGTGGATTATTTATAGATTTTTAAATACGATTTCCGAAAAAAAAAACATAAACTTTGATAAACACATTGTTGATATCAGTACGCTCTCTTTTTTATTCTGATATATAATTTAAGTTTTTTTTTTTTTTTTATTCTTATATTGTTTAATTAATTCTAGAAGATAATACGCGCTATGTCAAAATTGTTTTGAAAGCAGTTCTCATAAGATATTTCTCGCGTAATAATTGATCATATCACATGATCCATTTTTTTTTTAATCTCAATTCACACAAAAATATCGCGACAGGCAAAGCGGACAACGAAACCGTCGCGATTTTCTTTCCAAAAGACACGAAACATTATTCCATATCATATTTTACATATTAAAATTAAATAACGCCAATGTACGATTTTCAAATATATATATATCCGATGGAACGTTTCCTCGTATTGTCATACCATGCGTAATATTATCTTCGCTATACCATTAATAATTTCTACCGTTTATGAAGCTCGTAATTGTTCAACGTAGCGCACGGCGGATGAATAATTATCGACACATTCCAGATCTATTTTGGTTTTATTTGTTTTAAATCAAACAAAAATGCCGGTTTTATTTTTATTACGGTTGACAAATTCGAGAAACAATAGCGAAATAAAATTCGCAAGACACGGATCGATCGAATGCGCGAACGATTAATCCCCGATTGTCCACACGGCTAATTCACGGTTTGCGGGAATATATAATATCATTAAGAGAGGGATAGACAGAGAGAGGAGAGAGGGAACGGTAGGTCATATCAAAGGTGTCAGGACACGCGATATTGGATTACACTCCCCAGTTGGATTACACACCAATCTCCTAGTGAAATCCGGCACGTTGTCAGGAGGGAGAGAAGAGATTAGAGCATTTAACATATATAATTTTGGAAAATCATTTGAAGCGTATATATATATGGCATATAATTAATTTTCTCCGAATAGTTACAATCTGTCGCGCGCTCGCTGTTTAAAGAATTTTCGTTAGTAATTTTCAAAATTTTGAAAACCCCTGTTACACAGGCGAATGTTATCCATACGCGACAAATCCAATGTAAATAATTGTATTCATTTTGATAATTGCAACTTCTGTACCAAACATTGCGCGGCGGATAACATTTTTCGGATCTTCTCGCTGTGCGCGAAATACGACCGAGCGTGCTCACACAAAATTCAAATTCGTGTTTATATTCGTCGCTCCGAATATAAACACGTTTCTAAAAATAATATCGCATTAGTTTCGCATGTCAGCAAGAATGAACCAAACGTACTACTGTCACAGTAAACTCGGCGAGCTCATTTTCGCGTGACATTGCATCACGACATTGAATGAATACCGCACGAATCGCTATGGAAACTGTGTGTCGTGCTGTCGTGACATTGAAAAGTTAGAAATGATATTAGAAATCATCAACCGTCGTCGTGAAATTGTTCTACAACTCTTATGTGATTTATTTTTCTATAACAAAATAAACACACTTTCTATAAAAAATAAAAACGCTAAGTAAAAATATACAATCTGAAAAATATTGTATAATTTTTTTCATTGAGTCGTTGCCAATTAGTCGAACTGAGGAGAGTGCAGTATTATTGTCGAGTTTTTCCAATTTTTAAAATCATTTTTCTCAAGGAAAAATGTAAGAGAAATCAGGTAAGAATTTTATTTCGCATTCTCAAGACTAGGTTTTTCTTGTAGAATTCGCTTATTACGTTTTCCGCGATTCCGCACGACGGAAGAAAAAGATTCAATTTTCGATAGAGAATGTATTTTGAGTGCAATTAAATAAACACACGCCGCAAATCTTGTAAAAACGCGACTCTGAAAAATTCGCGCTGGAAAAATCATGATTGAGAGAAAAGAAAGAGAGAGAGAGAGAAAGTCAACGAAAATCTAACGAGGAACGCGCACACATTCAAATCGCGGAAACGCGGTGTGTCGACAAATACTTAGCTTCTCCACTTGCACTCTCGCACCGATCCAAACGTGAAAGCCAAACGCGAATCCCACCGCTAAACGTGTTTACACGTCACGTGGTGTTGTATAATCACGCTTCGAAGATTACACAACAATTATGTATTTCGAGAAAGAATATCCTCTTATCGAATTATTTCGCGAAATAACTCGCAGGTAATCTCCCGACGAAACTACTCAGCGCGGAGAAAATCGTTGTCTTTTCTTGCGTCCTTCAAATTATCAGTATCAAGTATCTCAATAAACAAGTTTAACAATATTAAAGCTTCTTATTTAAGCTTGCGTTGAAGTTCGAGCGAACAATAGGATTTTCTTATCTAAACCCCTTCCAACCCTGTAATTCGGTTCGCGGAAAGCTCAGCTGGCTTATGAAACGAAAAGATAAGACGGAGTCGACATTTCGGGTTTACGAGCGGAAAAAAGTCGTCAACTAAAACTTGATAGAAAAAAAAAAAAAAAAAACACATATGCGATTGGAGCGCTACTCCGCGAGAAACGCGTGCGAGATGCATGCGGGTTTTCCGAAGAAAAAAAATAAAAGATCGCTTTTTCGAAAGCTTGAGTTTCAGATCGATGACATATGTGTGCGCAGTAGTAGTTTCAGATACGAGAATCCATATTTTCTCGGCAACACGTGAATCGTCAGATATCACGCATCAATAGATCCCTTCCGTGAATCTAACGGATCTGGGATTTTCACGTTCCGCGGACACGAAGTCCTCTTACCGCCGATTTCAAAAAGCGATATTTACAAAGTAAACTCTCCTCACCAACGTAGTTGTAGTTGAAGCGTATGTAAAGCGACTCATTTCGTCCGCGTCTCGCGCGCCCGTCGTCGTCTCCGCGTCGGGTTGATCCGGTATAATTTCGTTACTCGCGGAAAACTCGATTTTGCCAACCAACTGAGAGTCTTTGAACACAAATCCTACAAAGAGCGCAAGCATTACGATCCTTCAAAATTCAACGCGCAAACATTACATCGTGAAAACGCGAAAGTTTAATCAACGGGTTCTGAAACGCGTGTAATTAACGTTAGTTATCGACATCTTTTAATGAAGCAAATATTTCACACGCGCCGACGGAAACGCATTTATTTCGCATTTCACGTGCAGGTTGGCACTGCATAATTTCATATAATAATCTCGCGTGTGTCATGAATGTAGAAGGTAGGAGAGAGAGAAAGAGAGAGAAAAAACAACGGAATTCATTAACGGAACGTCAATCCGCATTAACGGCGAACAATCTCTTCATTAGCGAGTTGTGCGAGTGCTCTCTGAAAACGCGCTTATTTTGAGAAACTTGCCATTTATTCACATGACAAAATCCGTATATCTCTCGTTGAAACAAAAATAATCGAAAAGACATTCGCACAAGGGCGCTACTTTGCTCTTTCTGTGATTGTTAAAAACGCGAAAAGAAGTCGCAGAGAAAACACGCCAGCGAGAGAAAAGAAAAAACGCCGAAGGAAAAAAAAACAAAAAACAATCGAGAGAAAGAGAGCGCGCGGGAGAAAGAACTTTTTATGCGCGAGAGTTAATCATGAATTTCGAGTGGCGTATCGACGGCTTTCGTGATAATATAAGCGTGCTGTAAGATTATTTTTACTATGACACCACGCACCTGTCTCCCGGCCGATCGATGGACCATTAACGTCAAAGCCAGCAAAGGGGAAGAGAGTGCGAGAGGGGGGATCAGGTGGTGTGCGAAGGGGAGGAGGAAAAAGAGAAAGAGACGGAGACAGAAAGAGAGAGAGAGAGAGAGCACACTTTTGCGATGGAATATACTCGGCAAGTGACAGCGAGAGAGACGCTAGTCTCGTGCAGCCTGAGGCTATTAGGTACTTTGCATACATACACGGATACACACACAATGCCTTTCACATCGATATCTGGGAAATCGATGAACTAAAATAAATATCTACGAAGAAAGCAACACATACACAGAGAGAGAGAGAGAGAGACGCAGATAAACTGTCTCTCTCTCGCGCGCACATGTTCGCCACTTTGCAGAATGGACTGGCTGTCACTTGGTCGATAACCCGGTCGAGACAATTCGCAAAATACCTCGCGGAGTTGGAATTTTTCTCATACTTGGAATTTTTCTCATACTTTTTGATATTCCGTGAACGTTGAAATCGACACCCTTCGACGCCACCGGTTGTCGGAAGTTGCTCGAAATAACGATTAAAACAAAACTGTTTGAACACATACACAGCGTTTCGTTTAGCAACGCCAAATTCTGTTTGTGTTGCAACAACTTCGATGTTTCTCGTTCGACGCGCGGGAATGCGTGCGTCGCGTTTGAACGCCAGATAATGACTTGGTGAAGAAAAATATATTCGTTTCAAGAATTGTAAAAGAGTAAATAACAAATATCGTCAGGGATAATACGTTGGACCAAAATTGGAAAAATAAAGATGATTACTAGAATCTGAAGGAAACATTTGTTTTGAAATTTTAATCGCAACGCGTGTACTATTTCGAACATCGTCGTGGAACAGAC